AGACAACATCCACTGCTCTGCCCTCATCTACCCAGCCAGTCATTCCATCCTAGCAGGCTATCCGGTTGTTGACGCATGATTTCCTTCTGGTGAATCCATGCTGACTATTCCTGATCACCTTCTTGTCCTCCTTATGCTTAGTGGGGACCTCCAGGATGAGCTGTTCCATCAGCTTCCCGGGGATGGAGGTGAGGCTGACCGGCCTGTAGTTCCCTGGGTCCTCCTTCTTGCCCTTTTGGAAGACTGGAGGGACGCTGGCTTTCTTCCAGTCTGCAGGCACCTCTCCTGATTGCCATGACCTTTCCAAGAGGATGGAGAGTGGCCTAGCAATAACATCCGCCAGCTCCCTCAGCACTCGTGGGTGCATCCCATCGGGGCCCATGGATTGGTGGATTCCAGGTTTGCTTAAGTGATCTCTAACGCGAACCTCCCCCACCAAGGGAGAGTCTTCCTTTCTCCATACTTTCTCCCTGGTCTCCGGGGTCTGGGATTCCTGAGGGCTGGTCTTAGCAGTAAAGACTGAAACAAAGAAAGCATTCAGTATTTTTCCCTTTTCTGTAACCTTTGTTACCAGGGCACCCGCCCCATTCAGCAGTGGGCCCACATTTTCCCTAGTCTTCCTTTTGCTATTGATGTATTTGAAGACGCCCTTCTTGTTGTCCTTGACATCCCTTGCCAGATTAAACTCCAAATGGGCCTTAGCCTTCCTTGTCGCATCCCTGCACACTCTGACAATGTCCCTGTATTCCTCCCAAGTGGCCTGTCCCCTTTGCCACATTCTGTACACTTCCTTCTTCTGTTGGAGTTTTGCCAGGAGCTCCTTGCTCATCCACGCAGGTCTCCTGCCCACTTTGCTGGACTTCTTCCTCAGAGGGATGCACAGCATGTCTTTGATTCTGCCTGGTTTACCTTGTGAATAGAGCAAAAACTTTTCCCTTGCTAGGATTTTACAATACAATGCATGCTAACCTATTTTATGTGTTCCACTCTACAAAGATGTCCTCTCAATATCATTCCAAAGAGCTGATCAAGAAATATGAAGTAAATAAAGACAGTAGGTTGCCTTATAAGCTGACTGTTCTTCAGAGGGAAAGTATTTTACTCTTAGTGATACACTTGGCTCCCCTCTAGGTTCAAATTTCCCAATACTGAAGGGTCTGAAGCATATACGTTAAGTTCCATGTAAAGCAGTTGAACAAATATCTTCACCAGAGCTTTTAATCTTCTTTCTGGAGCATGTTGCTGTAGCCAACTGACATATACTAATTTTCTTGGAAGGGAAGTTCTTTTTGGATGAACTCTGTAAGCAGCAATGAATGAATGCTGGAGGAGCATGTCATCAGGTCAAGGTCAGTTACAATCCCCTTCTCCATGGCATTGCTGAGGCTGCACTTGGACTGTATCTGGTCTGGTGACTCCCCTGGTTGAAGAGGAATATGAAGAAACTGGAGAAGAAGAACCTGGAGAAAATCCAATGGAGGATTAGTAAATTGGTCAGCGCCATGGAGCATATGACTGATAGGGAACCACAGAGGGAGCTAGGCTTGTTTAATCTGGCCAAGAGGAGGGGGAGAGGGATTGAATAGCTGCCTACAACTACTTAAATGGTGTTTTCAAGGAAGTTGGAACAAAACATTTCTCTGTAGGGGGCAGAGGTTATAACATGGGGCAATGGCCACAGTTGCAGCTTGGGGAGTTCAGATTGGGCATTAGGAAAAACTTCTTAATCAGGAGGTTGGTGCAACAGTAAAACAGGCCAGCACAGAAGTGGTAGATTCTCTGTCCTTGGAGGTTTTCAAGATTTGGCTTGACAAAGCCATGGCTGACCTGATCTAGCATTGGCATCAGTCCTGCTTTCAGTGGAAGGATGGACTAGATGACCTCCAGAGCTCCTTTCCAGCTGGCATCCCCATGATGCTATCAATGAATGGAGCTAGATTTTTTGTTCAGGTACAGGAAACTTAACACTGCTCTTCCATAATTGGGGCTCCTATCCTTCTGAGCTATGCCTGATGACAAAATGTCAAATTCACTGCTGCAAATTCAGGAATATAACATTAAAACATATGCTCACTGTGGATAGGCCAGCACCTTGCAGGAGTGTTCTTGAGGAGCTTACACCTACAAGCTGAATCACATGGGTCATGCAGTGACCTTTGAAAGTAGGCTGGTGGGGCCCACAGTTGCTTCTGAGAGTGGGACAGAAGAAAAGCAGCTTGAGGGCAGATTTTGAAAGGTGATTCAGTATCTGTGCATGTCCACTGGTGCCTACTGGAATTTTCAAGCCTTTAAATACCTGCTCCCCTTGATTGACTAAAAACATTTCTCCTCAGTTTTTGTCTACACAGAACATCTAAGAGCAAAGTCCCATGGATTCACTTCCACAGCTAGGAATCATACCCAGAGACCCAGATCCATCTTGTGAGCAGTGTGAGCTGATTTCTTGACAGTTTGTCAAAAGGGGCAGCCCTGACTTTCCCTGCTGCGTGCAGTCCTGCACCTCTTTCCTGTGAGGATCTTGTACAATTAGGCAAGCTTCCAGCCTGTTCAAACCAAGGTAAAGTCTCATCTTCAAAAGGGTTTGACCACCCCATGTACAAACCCTGTTCTCCATGAACAAGGCAGATTTTACAGCATTACAGTTTTTCTGGTCAGGCAGAGAAGCCTTAAAGCACCAAATGGAGAAGGCAGAACAGAAGCTGTGTGGGTTTTTTTTTTTTTTTTTTTGTGCCATCCCCAAAGAAATTAGGCAGACGTTAGTATTCTCTTCTCTTACTCATGCAGTCACTGCAGGGCAGAGTAGGTCTCTAATGAAGGTTTATTATCTCATTGCACTTGGATTTCCTAACTCTAGAGTCCTTGAGCTTAGCAGACTTCTAAGGATAGTAGGAGAGGGGAACGAAAGACAGAATCATTTTACCCTGTAAGCTTTTTAATACCCAAATTATATTTATGTTCTCTAATAAAGACCTGTATTCTTTGGAGTCTGGGTTAGAACTACGAGTATGAGAGATGTCCTACTGCCACTTGCAAGGGTAATAATTACCAGAGCTATTGATCTTCCTGCTGCAGAGTAAGGTAACTATAGTAGAGCCAGAAGTCAAGAAGAAATTTCCCTCCATGACACAGCATTACCCATCATAGCGCATTATGTGGATTTGCACTTCCACTCTGAAGCAACCAGCAAGGTCCACATCAGACAGCAATAAATTATATAGATGTGCTAGTAATGTGATCTGGAACAAGAGCCAGTATAGACAAAGCAAGGCACACCCCACATCTGCTCCGTTGTGTTAGGATAACTGCTCTCTGAGGAATTGGTTAATATGTTACGTGCTGTTAATAGGATGAACTTTTGGCAGCTTCCCATCATGTTACTGTCCCTGTTCCTGACAGGGTGAAGGACAGATTATCTGAGAGAGGTGATCGTCCAGCCACCCTCTGGCCCCTCTTCCCAGCATTAGCCCTGATGGGACCAGGAATGGAGAGCACAAAAGATTACAGAGGGTGGAGGGGGAAGGTTTTCACAAAGTTTGCATTCATCATTTTCAGATCCTGTAGGACTGCTGTAGCCATTATGCCCATAAGTGGAGGTTGGGTACACCCACCAATTTGCAAACACTAGCTTAACCTTCTGCTTCCAGGTTGAAAGAAACATCTTTCCTCCTCCAGCAGCCTCCATTATCTGGGCAGTGGCCAGCTCCATACACAGAGCTCTGCCAGAAATGGAGGCCTTTTTCCTCTGCTGTTTTCCTTTCTTTTCTTTAGCTGTCACTCTCCCTTCTCCATTACTGCTCCCCCTTGAAAAAGACACAGCTCCAGGCTGTCAAACCCCCTTCCCCCCTTCTCTCCAGTGCTTGGCCTTTTGCCGGGAATTCAGAGCTGCTCGTTCCAGCTCCTCCTTGCATTCCTTTTCTCATTTCCGGATGGGTCCTGGCCCCCAGCCCTTATCTCCTCCAGCCCACAGTCTATTTGCTGTGGAGACTATAAAGCAGTTGTTC